TTTTTTTTTTTTTTTTTTTTTTGTACCGGGGATTGAACTCGGATCCTTGCGCTTGCAAGGCAGCCACCCAACCGCTGAGCTAAATCCCCAGCCCCATCCCACCCTTCTTTTTGCATGGAAATAACACCTACAAGTTCTTTGTAGACCATGAAAAAGAAGGAAGTGCGTCCTCCACTGTTGAGTGTCGCCTCAGTGGGGAGCTGCGGGACCCTCCTGGGCTGTCCGTGTAGATCTCTATCTGGGAAGCAGCTCATGCTCCATGCGTGATGGGTCCTGCCGCCCTGGGGCCGGCCCTGGGAGCCCTGATGCCCTGAGGCTGGTGGGTAGGGTGGGTTCTGTGGACCGTCAAGGGAGTGACCGGGTACCAGGCTCTGGCGCTGACCTGTGTTCTTCAGCAAGGCTGCAGCCTGCCCACACCACCTCTCCCACCCAGAGCCTGTGCTGTGCTGGGTGGAGGGTTTCTGGGCTCGGTGAGTGGTGACCTTGCTTCCGGCCTTGGGAGGGTGTGCAGGAGAAGCGATTGTTTCTGGAGTGGGCATGTGGCATCTTCATCTCCCAGGAGGGCAGGGGGCCTGGGGCTGCCTTTAGCCAGTGCTCCGAGGACAGGCCCTCCATGCCGCACAGGCTTCATCCCCCCTTAGGATCCCTGCTTGCAGATCAAACGAAAACTGTAGCTCAGAGGGCAAGGAGAGACTCACCCAAGGCCACACAGCCAGGCTGGTGGAGCTGGAGTCCGTCCTAGGGTCAGTCTGTGCTCCCAGCTCTGCCTTAGACCCGGGGTCCAAGGCCACCGCGCGCTCCTGGACACGGCTCTGCTTATGTTCTGATTGACCCGGTCTGTGTTCCCGTTGAGCCAGGACGGTGGGGCCCAGGGGTGAGGGACCTGCCCACAGTCACGCAGCTAGGACGGTGGAGCAGGAATTGGCACTGATCTGGAGCGGCATGGAGACTGCCCTCTGTTCTCAGACAGGCGTGGGGTGCTGCCTGGCTCTTCTCCCTGGCAGCAGAGGCCAGAGCCAGGGCACTGCGGCAGGAGCTCTGGAGCTGGGCCTGGCAAGCTGAGGGCACAGGGCCCAAGTCCCCTTGTCCCCCAACTTGGCCACATCTGCCGTGTCCCTTGCCTTCCCAGGCCCTGTCCCCCTCTTGGCCTCTGGGGCACACAGTGGGTTCCAGGGCAGGAGGACCCGCATGGAGAGAGGCTCGGGCTTTTCTGTAGCTAGGCTGTTGGTTCCCTTTGGAGGTGGCTGGGTGACTTTGGCCCCTTACCTCAGCGGTGGGCACAGGCTCCACCTTACCCTGGGTTCTTCCGCAGACACCTCTGTCCTGAGGCTCTGTTCCCGATGCACTGAACCGGTAATGTGGCTCCTCTCTCACGAGAAGAAGGAAAGCGCTGTGTGTGTGTGCGTGTGTGTGCGTGTGTGTGCGTGTGTGTGCGTGTGTGTGCATGCTTGTGCACGTGGACTGAAAGCTCCAGATGGCACAGAGCACACCTGTTTCTGTAACTGATCTCATCCTGCTTTGGAGAAATCAGTGGTGGGAAAGATACTTTATCGAATAAGAATTTGTGGTTAAACAGAACTCATTTTGCCCAGATTTTTATCAGTAAGTGAAAGTAGAGGGGAATCAACAGTTGGCAGAGATGGAGCAGTTTCTGGGTAGTAGTGACAGTCGGCTTTCCCAGTAGGACTTTCCATAGCCCACAGGGGCCTAAAAATGGGGCCTGCAACCACCCTGGGTGCAGCTGGCCCCTGCCTGTTTTGTATCAGTCTCCCTTGGGTCAGCAGCCTGTGCAGCACTGCGTACGCAGTGTCTCTGAAAGCCTCCACCCGTTAGCCAGCAGAGCCTCTGACTCCTCTGAGCTGTCCACCCTGCATCTGGAGGTCTGCGGGCATCTGATCACCCTTGTGCAGGTGCTGCTCCAGACCCCTGGAGTGATACCTCCAAGTCTCCAGGGTGTCCCAAGTCTGCCCTGACCTCGGGCCCCACGAGGAGCCTCCGAGCGGGACCAGGCTGGGAGACCCGGGTTCCCTCCTCCTTTTCTGTGCGCCTGAAAGCTCTGTCGCCCAGGAAGGCAGACCTCCAGCCCCTGTGCATCCCAGCAGGGCCGACTGACAGAGTTCCTTCTGCCTTGCACCTGGCCCCTCCTTTTTTATTTTTAGATTTTCATCTTTATTGAGATATAATTAACAGGTCTGGGGATGTAGCTCCGTGGCACCACGCCTGCCTGGCAAGCACAAGGTCCTGAGTTTGATCCCTGGTACCGGGGGGAAAAACTGTTTTTAAAGAATAAAGGTTAAAAAAATGGGTCCAGGAATATGTAGCTCAGTGGCACTGTGCCTGCCTGGCAAGTGTGAAATCCTGAGTTCAATCCCAGTACCAAACCAAACAAAACAATTAGGGCCAGGGATTTAGCTCAGTGGTTCCCCTGCCTGCCTCTGCAAGTGCAAGGACCTAAGTTTGATCCCTGGTACCAAAAAAAAAAAAAAAAAAAAAGTAAAATAGCAAAATTTGTATATAAGGCATATAGCGTACTGTTTTGCTCTATGAATTCCTGGTGAGAGACGAGGGAATCAAACTAATTGACACATCCATTACCTCACGTTCTGAGCTGTGTGTGCGTGTATGTGCACTTTCTCCTTGATTGGCATTTTGGGACGGGTGGCCTACCGTCCAGGCTTTTACCCTCTAACTCCTATAACATAACTGCTAACTATTATTCAGTGTCAGGATTCATAAACTCATCCCAGTACTCTGGGAGGCTGAAGCAGGAAAATTGAAAGTTGGCATCCAGCCTTGGCAACTTAGCAAAACACTGTCTCACAATTTTGAAAAAGGCTGGGGATGTCTCAGTGTAGCTCAGTGTAAGGACCCTGGGCTTCAATCCCCTGTGTTGCCCTCCACCCTGGAAAAGAGGAAAGTGAAAGGAAAATAGTTTGATGAGCTGTCAGCGTGATGGCTTGTCAGCACTCCTAGGAAAACTTCATGTCACTCCAAAATACAAGGGATAAACAAAGGCCAAAGTACTGAAAACTATGAAAGGGTTGTTCATACTTTGGCAAATCACTTTTTTTGGCAAATCACTTTTTTTATTTTGAAACACTATAAAAATAATTAGCAAGATTTTCAGCGTAGGACACAAGAAATATAAATATAAAATTTGTTCAAAAAATACAATCTCTCAGCCTTTGGTACCAACTGGCAGGATTCTTTCTGGCTTGGAATGTTATTAGAGAATAGCAGGCAGCCAGACACGGTGGTGTGGTGGGGCACACCTGTAGCCCCAG